GAAGAGACACTTGGGGGGCCGTTAATCAATCAAGGAGGAAGAAGATAAACTTTAACACCACATACGTTGTTTTAAGTGTGCAAACAAATGTTCAGGAAAGAGACTGAGACCAATAGTACTCATAGCAAAGCGGAGTCCCTCAATAACTGCAACACAGATACTTGAGATAACAGTTCCTCTTTTGATGTTGACATGTCCTCTGGAGGGGTCATAAAAGTAGTGGGGGTGAGGGGTTACCAAAGGTGATTGTAATCACAGTAAGCAGGAAATACCTTCAACAGCATTCTACATTGTTTCTTTCAAATCCAGCTAACAGAGAGGAACTGTATTTTAACAATCCCTCTCTTGATCACAATCAATATTGTGATCACAAAACCACCTACCATACAAATCAAATCAAACCAGGAAAGGAGGAATGATACTGGATTTTAACACTCCCTCTCTTGATCACAATCAATATTGTGATCACAAACCCATCTACGTCGGAATCTCTTGTCGAAGTCTATCTCGCGCAAAGCACAAGCACTGTCAAACAAATTATAACAGGAAATAACAGTCTTAGCGAATTGTGATGCCAAACCCCACATCATTCGAGGAGTGGAGACCAAAATGTTCAGTGATTAGCTCTGGGCCGCCTGATAACTTTGTCTTGGTTTCACATGTCCAACATGGGCGGAATGCACACCTCATACCGGAATGCACACCTCACACCCCCCTCACGGACTCAAGAGAGTCCGTCATTGGAAGCGAATGAAATCAAATAAAGGTACCAGCAGCATCATCGTCGTAGGCTACTGGTGCAATGCCAAGCAAGGGTTATGTGGAAACATTGGGAATCAACATCTCAACAAGAAGCAAAAGCACACAACAATAACCACGTGTTCATCATTGAGGGATGTCACGGTCCATGGTGTGTCAAATGTTCTCCGAGGCGCGGTCATGAATGAATCGACGAAAGCATTGTGTTGGTGTGTTGGATGACCAGAAGAGACAGACAAAAGTCAGGACAGAGACTGTTGCAAGTCTGAGTGGGAACGCCATGGTGAGAGGTGAGGGTGTTCTGG